AATTGACACTTTGGAGCCACACAGCTTTAACTTACATGGGCCTCCCACATCCTTGAGTACACAGATTTAGGTTGGCAGTAACTTGACTCAGACCTCTCCTTTTTTTCCGTTTAACTCCATCCTTTCCAACACATATCTCCTAATCCTTATTTGACTAAACAATGCCGCAAGCCCGCTCTCTGCCCTTTAAAACACAATTAAAATGTGCAGAAAAAAATCAGTAGTTTCCACATGTGGATTTGAGGCCCGGCACATGCCGCTTTTGAGTTTGACACACACAAGGTCTGGCTGCGCTTTGTTATCTGATGACGTAGGCCCATCTGCAGAATATACACACACGTATCAACATCTCTGAGTGAGGAGCGACGTTGTTTATCAGCCCTGGAAGTGTCTGCTATCATCTTTTTCCAGACCTTCTGTGTCTTTCCATCTCTCCTCGCTCTCTCCCCTCTCATCTCAACGTTTTTGGCACACCCGACCAGTCTCTGGTTCAAGCTCTCCCCCCACCCTCGTATAGAATTGCATCACTACAGTAAGTGTTTGTAGACTTTTATCTAGTTGAATTTGCCCCAGCTTGTCTGCGTGCGGATGCGTCTGCGTGTATGTGTGTGCAGATTTAAGGCCGTGAACAGCTCAGAACATGCTGTGAGGTTTTACACGTATTAGGGGTTTACTCAAATGCCTCATTCCACTTTATAGCCAAACTGTCTTTGATTCTATGCAGAACTGGCAGTGCCCTCGCAGCGGCTGCGAATGTCAAATATGCTGCTCCCAGGGCAGGGTTTGACTGTAGTGGGTTATGAAACAACCACCCAATGCCCCAGAGAAACAGAAACACTGTTTCACAACACGTTCTTTCCAAGATTGGCCTATCAACATAATAATGAGTCAATAAATTTACCTGCCAAGCTCTGTGTAGCACAGTGTCATTCACCTTAGTAACTGACAGAAAACAATTCACAACTAATTATAATTTTTAACCAATTATTTGTTCCATCGTTTCAGTGCCTCAAATATAGTGAGGATGAGTCTGCAAATGCACTCAAGATTTTTTTTTAAATGTCTTTTTAAACATTAGGAGCATGCAAGGACCCTAATATGTGCTATTAAAAACTATTCCTGCATAACTCTGCATATGACACTGCAACCAAGCAACGGCGACTAATCAACCAACATGTGAGGGTTATGTAGAGCAAAGGCCGAGAAGCATGCAGGCACTGTATGTCAATGACCTGCGTAGCGTGCGAGTGGTAATGCAATGTGTTTGTGTGCAAACTCACCTGTCCCGCAGTGTCACACAACTGTAGTCTGACTGGGCTCCCATCCACCTGAACCACAGCTGCAGATACAGAAAGAGACAGAAAGAAAACAAAGTGAGTCACAGGTGACAGTATGAGTTTTAAGGCTGTGTATGTACCCCCACCTGACACTCGAGCTAATGCACACACACACAGCTACTAACCGCAACACTCTCAGCAATAAACAAAACCCTTACAGTTTAAAAAACAAAAAAGACTCCCCGCTGCCGCCTGTTCTGCTCTTCCAGCTCGCAAATGGCCTTGCTCAGTCTCGCCCACCCACTCTGCCAGTTACCGTTCAGACCGTAACACTTTACTGTCGCTCAGACCGCTCGGTGGGCTTTGTTCTGTGCTGTGTTTTGGCAGAGGCCAGTCAAAGGTTGTCTGATGGTGTGTCTGTGTGTGTGTGCATGGGGGTAAAAACAAAGCAGATTTTGTTTATTTAGTGACTCTCTTCCAATTGGCCTCATTTCCAGATTGGAAAAGAGAGTGAGTCATCTCACAGTGAGTTTCATTACAGGGCCATTTATTCTATTCAGAAAACTGAACACAACGCAGAGCAGCAGGCACATGGAAACATTTACAATAGGCCTGGAGCGTGTGGTTGGTCATACCACCTGATCAAAGGGTTTGCTGGAACTATTCATATAGGAGTACAGCCGTCAGAACACCCTGCTTTCACAGAGGCAAGGGGGGGAAGCGCGGGAGGACACAGAAGAAGGAACATAAGAGAGATGCCATTGGGTAATCATTTCCTAATACCTGACATATGATACTCCTTTGATTTTCTCATCCAAAACTCCTTATTGTCCAGTCTCCTAGCCTCCCGCTTCTCCAAGTCTCTGCCACCTGTGGCATTGTGTAACTGCTCAGAAATCAGCTTTCAAGGGAACGCTCTGATTCCAGGCACTGAAAAATGACATCACTATTAAGGGCCCCAACTGCACAATCACTCTCTGTCAGGCCAGGGAGAAAGACAATCTCTGCCTCAGAGCTACTGCAACAGATGTGCCCGTTTCAGTATAGAAGAGAGGCCTTGCGGGTCAAGGCTGACAACAATAGGCAGAGTTGTGCAATCCAAAACCCGTGAACCAGTGAACCAACCTCTGTTCTGTATGGAAGAGTTGAGCCAGCACTTGTCTAAGGGTGGTGTGTGCTCTACAAGAGTGTTTTATGAGATTTGGGTTGGCCACATTGTTCCTTTTAATGCTTATCAAGAGTAATGTCAGGGAATTAGCTATGATTAATGATTAATTCACAGCCAGTCGCTTTCTTTTTAAATAAAAATGTTAGATTTTGAAAAGGTAAAATACCAAAATCCTTTTGTATATAAATCAGGGTATAATCCTGCACGAAAAAGCAAAACAGCTTCTATGTTGCTCTAGAACTGCATTTCAAATTGTATGTCTAAATAACAGATGTGATCACACGTCAATAAAAGCGATCAACAGGTCACCGTGTATTTTTTTTCTATTCCAACACTGTTCGGGTTCAAACACCACCTTCAAAGGATTTTTGTTTTTCTTCTCTTACATCGCAAAAGCTTCCAGGGATTAGTGAGACAGTTTGGAAAGTGGAACAGCGCCAAATGGAAACCCAGCTACACCAGGGAGGATAGTTCATCCACATTAATTACCGCTGATGGAGGACAAGATAGCAGGAAACACAAAGACATCTATCAGTCCTTAACATCTGAATAATAGAGGGACATTGGGGAATATAGGTGGGGTGGGGCAGTGTTGATCTCTAAAACAAGCAAGAGTTGAAAAGGTATCCTGTGGAAAATGGGTGATACTGACAGGTACATGGAAACCAACAGATTTTTCTAGAGGAGGGTTTTTTAAAGTGTCATAAGTTTTATTAAGTTTATTCACCTCGTTTAAATAAACTGGACATGTTCAGCTATGACAGGTGGCACACATACACGGTCTGCCTGTGCATTCGCAACATTTCTAAAATCTGGAATAAAATGAATAAAATAATATGTCTGTTTACCCGTGAAGTCATCAAATGCAGTAGGGACGTATTTCGTCGGGTATCCATTCGTGGTGTAGCTGACCACCAGACTGGTTTTTCCCACCGCTCCATCGCCCAGCAGGACGCACTTCAGCAGCCGCTCCTGCGCCTGTCCTGGCCGGGTAGGTTTGGGTTTATGAGGAGGCACTGGAGGGGCCATGGTCCTACCGTAATCCATTCTGAGTGGAGGTGCCTTTCAGTCAGCCAGCTCTGCACCGCGATCTCCTCGATGGACCGGTGAAACACCCACCATGAGAACAGGTTCTTTCCTCCTTTGCAGTTTTTCTTCCCTCCAAACGGTTATGATCGCAAACGGAGCTCGTGCGTAAAACCTCTCCTCCTGTGCGCGCTGTCAAATCCAGTACGGGAAGTTATCGTCCAGCACTGCACCGCTGAACACTGCAGTTTTACCAAGCGAGGGAGGATCCAAAGCGTTTTTTGTGTGTGTTTTAGGATTAATTTGACTAATCCCACCTACTTTTTCGCATTGGCTCCGCCCAGCAACGTGGGAGTGTGAATCCAAGTGTTCTTTGAAGAAAAGAACATTACCCTTATTAAACTGTTTGGGGAAAATTAGAAAACAAGAAGGCCGATCCTGTGTTTTTATTATTATTATCAATCTTTCCTTTCAATATATTATTGTGTAGTTTACTCGTTTAACCTGTTACACACTGCGTTGCTATGGGCTTAATGTTTGACCTCTTGCAGGCATGTCCAGACGTGTCCTCACTAGTTAGGAGGAAACCTTGATGCCCTTTTTGAACATGGATATAAAAAGTGCTGAAATTTTATACGCAGACTTCAGCCTCCTGACTTACTTTACCTTGTACTAGTATGCTTTTCCAAGAAGGAACAGCCAGAATCTACAAGATTACTCAATCAACAAATGGAAATTTTATTGTATTCTCCACGTGATCGGCCAGTTTTAAACTGTCCAATATCTAAGGTGATCCGCTTTCTTATACTAATTTGTCAAAGACACTGGAAACCTCGAAAACTGAACCAAATGTTTTGCCTTTTGCCGCCTCCTTGTGGCTGCAGCGAGAAACTGACATACCCGAAAACAGGTAGCGTTAATACTCTTGTCTGTTTAAAAAAGCCACAGTATATGTTGAATTGATCTCTCAAGAGTTTATTTTTCCAGCGATAAAACTAGTTATTTTCAGGAATACAAAGAAAAGTGCACTAAGATAATGCAGGTCACGAGTGATCAATTGTTTGGAAATTAAATGAAAAGGAATTAAAAGTCAGTTTTCTGTTTAGATTAATATTTTCAAGGCAAATAGAAAACAAAAATTTCTGGTAATCTAGGCCTGGTATGACAACTCTATGAAAATGAAGTTTGGCTGGATTAGTAGCAGCTTTGCTAAATATGTACACAGGAATCATGACAAAACAGATTTATACACGTTAAGCTGTGTGGTTACATATTGCTGTCATCATTTTTATCTTTTTAAAGAAAGGACAGATGGGTGTGTCTATGCTACTACTGTAGTTCTATGACCAAGCAGCACATGATTTCTGACACTAACTGGCCATTAGGTTTTGGTTTTTAACGGTTTATATCTATGACTGTAGCAATGCTTTCTCTGTAGGATGTAAATTCACATCTATAAGGCATAACAGTCTTTGTGTGAGCTTTAAAAGCAGACACTAAAGGGAAATATGGACTTCAACTGTGGAGTATCCTGAATAATTTTATTATTCCTAAAACAGATCTACTTACAGTTCCATATAAGATACCTTGCCCTGTACAGATATAGGAACCCGGTAAGTTTTGTACATATACAAAACTCCATTATTGGGAAACAAATGGTTAGGCTGATACGAGAAGTGGTGCATTGTTGGAGGAAACAAGTTATAAGTACTGTGAATCAGATCATGCACTGTAACCTGTGGTTAAAAAGGCACCTGCTGTATTTCACTTTCACGTTCCTTCACAAGCTTCCTCTACAACGGGAGATAAAACACTTCAAGAGCACAGAGAACATGGGAAATCTTAGCACTTTGTCTATTGCCCATATACGCAATCATGAAACTCCTTAGCAACACTGACACCTCTCGTACTCTGCCAGTGAAAAACTTCCTCTCGTAAAATTTACAATATTGCAAATTACTAAAGTCACTGAGGAGCTCAGTTATCTTTCTGTTTATATCAAAGGAGGGAAAGCAGTGCCTTTCAGCTGCTCCCTTTAGGAGTCACCACAGCGGATCTTCTGCCTCCATCTCACCCTTTCCCTAACATCCTCCTCTATCACACCGACTCCCTGTATGTCCTCCTTCACTACATCCATAAATCTTTTAGTGTAAGCAATGAAGAAATGAAGAAAAAAAAACAAAAAACACACAAAACATAAAAAGGGTGATAGAAATGGATGCCTGCGAGGGTGAAAAGAAACACAAAATTTTGGAAAATTAAGAAATGCGACTTTAATTGCTGGGTAACAGTTTTGTTTGAGCAAGCTCTATGTCAGGTACTCGCATACATGCACACACAAACACAGAAACGTCCATACACACCTGCATACACACAGATAAACAGTCATGTGAATGAATATGCATGGAGAAATGTACATGTGATTTCACACGCATCTTTAATTGCCAGTTTTATGCTGCCGTGATCTGTGTTGACCCCTGTTTTAGTGCTCCTCGCACAAATCCCCTCAACGACTCAATTCCCTTTACTCAGGCGTGTAGCTGTCAGTGTGGGAACTTCCCTTTTATGGTCTTGTACCTCATTTTGGACTACAGCTCAATTTAAGACACTTTTTGAATTATTTTTTTACATGTCAAAAACAATATTTCCAAAGATGGTCATGCGCAATCACCTGCGCTGCAGAATCTCTTCTTCTTCGAAACCAGCAGCAAGAGTCCTATCAAGGATTCATACACCATGAAACAGAATCATCTCAGCCCCATCCTCTAACCCCTATAACTTGGATACAGTTAGTGTGAAGTACCATGCGTAGTCCTCATCATCATTCATTTAAATAACCTCCCTTTCGTTCCCTTCCCCGTTTCTGGAGCTCTGTTCTGTGGAGCTCTGAGCACAGACTGCCATGTAAGACATCTGAGTGACAGTCTGTAACTCATGTAGCTTCTCTTTAAGTCGCTGTCCATGAGTGATTACTGGGTTTTGGGTTTGGCACCACCAGGAGTTGGATCAGGAGGAGGGCCACCACCCTGGACAAGTCTTTGAAGACTACAGGGGAGACACATAAGTGATAATAAGTGAAAATTAGCATCATCCACCACCATTATTTTTTGTTAAGTGTGTGTTAATGTGCTGCCAGAAACTAGACAGGTATACCTCACTGATAAATCCTATGTTTAAGGAACACATTCCAACATAGTAAGTCCCCTTAGCTTGTCCTACTAGCCTTATAGTAGAACCTTTTAAATTGCTTCAGTTAGATCCATCCCCTGGTTCGTTTTAGTGGCTTGAAGCCATTTTCATATGGATTACCTGGTATTTCTTCTTGTGATTGTGTGTGTGATACTGTTACTGCCATTAACTATATCAGCATATTATCGTGGGCTTGGAAGGCATGACTGGGAAATGGATGAACTATTTTGGTTGTAAGTGGTTCCAGTTTCGATCAACCAGGTTTGTTAATCCTACTTATTTTCTCGTTTGGAAAAAAGACAGGAAAAAAGGTCAAGGACACATCTGGTTCTTTGACTAAGAAGAAAAAGTCGATGGAACCAGGCTGTGAACGTTAAAAATTCTGAGATCCCACTGTGAGCTAAAAAGAGCTAAAAAGTCATGCAACTCTAACAATGGATCTCCAAACTAACACTCTATACTTCAACATTCGGCCAATAATTAGAATAATAATGAGCAAATACACTATAACATATTAGTTACCATTATTATTAATAGCATTATCACGCTATTAATAATCCACAGCCATGGTGGATCATTCTTCTGATGAGAATCATTTGATTAACAGTTAAAAATCTGTTGCTTTTTTAACACAAATCATTCAGCATCATGTTTAGTCTCAGTCTGCTGACCAGCTGAAACAAAATGCTGTGATGTAAAGTACAATGTGTTTGCTTTATTAATTGCAGTACTGTGCAAAATCTTGAGCCTCCCTTCTCAAAAAATGTAAAGTGGGATTTGTCATTGATTTTCAGTCCAGGTCTTGTGTAATCTGGTACACCTCAGCTTTTTCTCCCTGTTTCCCTTCCTGAAGAATGACAGCCACCCTTCCCCTAAAACCATTTCTGATGTACAGTCGATGGATCAGCTGAAGGGCCAGATGCATTTTTCAGGTCCTGTTTCAGGTCTTTGCTGGATTTATTTTTTTATTCCATTAGTCATATCCTATTTATTTACCATTTAAAGCTGAATCATGACATACTCGCCAGAAATGTATAAATATATATATTTTTAAATTAAAAACAAAACTTAATGTAATGTTTATTTGCTTTTATTAATTTGACTTTGTATCATATTTGGTATATCTGGCATTTCAGCTAACAGCACTTTGAGAATCACCTTTTTGTGCAAAAATACTCGTTTATGTCTGTGTTTCTACAACAGGTTGCAAGAAACAAAGTGCCTAAAGATTCAGTTTTTTTCGACATGTTCAAAATGTAATTTCCTTATAGTGTTAAAAACATATCTGAGTACTGCAGCAATGAATAGATTTGGCATATTTGTTTATTTTTCTTATAGACTGCATCGTGCTATTGACTATATACTGTGTTAAACAGTGTGAATGATACTTTGTGCAGTCAGCTCTAGTGCATACTTAAAGCAAAAAGAAGTATCTGAGATCATGAGCTCCACTGTGTTGGTGATGGCACCTTTCTGCCACAGGATGGCGTCATACTCACATGTCCTTGACGTTGTCAATGTGGGCCTGGATTTTTGCAATAATGCCATCAACCTGCTCCTGGAATATAACAGAAAAAGGGTACAAATGTTAAAGGATATGGTGGACATTAAATATCAGTGAGTGTACAAATAGAAAAAAAAGTTGCTACCTGACGTCGTATATAAAAAAGGGGCAGAGAAAAGACAGCGATCACACCTAGAAGAGAAAAAAAAGTAGAGTTGCCAAAGTGATAAACAAAGAGTGTATCAATAGCTTTCATATGTCCGGTGATGATATGCGTTTCTTACTGATGATGAGCAAAGTAAGGCCATTGCACAGGTCTCCCAGGTATGTCACAAGGTACATCAGAAACAGGAACTAAAAGAATAAACATAAAATAAAGAAACAGCTGCACGGACTTTAGCTTTCACCAGAAAGTTAAGCTGTTATCAAGAAACCCTCCTGCAAACTTCCATTTGGTTTTCATTTCCTTCTTCTAGAAAACAGTCCATCACACTAACACACTGTTGATTTTGCTCCACTGTATTATGTAAATAGGATACAGAATTCATTAAATTATTGTGACTGACATCATTTCTCCTTGACGGATAAAATAAGCTTTAAATATAACCCCCACGTCCCAATATGATACAACTCTTTCCCCTCATTTTTCAGTTCTGTCACTGTACATATGATACTGACATGGGACACCCTGTGTCAGATGGAAGGAGACTCCAGCTTATCCCGGGTGTCTCTGAGTTCCTATCCCTGTGTGTCATGCCACATTCCAGCAAGGTCAGGGTTGAGAACAGGGGGTCCCGGGATTAAGGGGCTCAGTCAGTTTACGCTGACTCACCATTTATCGCAAAGGAGTTATTTCTGTCTGCTGTTAACAGCTACAATTTCAAATCTATGTAGATGTTTTACTGATACTGGTAAAACTAGAGTATTCTGCATGTTATTCCAATACTGGCAGTGAGGTTTACTAACTATATTGTAACTGACTGGTACACGTGTATAGTGAATGCTGCATCAATAGCTCCTATCCCAGTCTAATACTACTCTCTATGAAATAAGTGGAAATTACCCTAAATTTAATCAAAGGTAAGTAGCCATCACACATTTTTTTGTTCATATTTGATTGACTGTTTTGACCCTTCAGAGGGTCCCTCAAACTTTTCTTAGACTTGTCTCACTTGCATTACTCAAGAACACACCTACATTTGAAATGACTTGAGCCTAATGATGACTGTGTCAAAAGGCTGATTAAGAACTGGCACTTTATGCATTAGCTTTCAGAGAAAGGACATAAACCTGAAGTCAATCAAGTTTTATCTAACAAACTCCAACAAAGCATTTTCCGTCACAGCAAACTATATAAATCATTAATTATGTGATGCTGGCAGATTTTCCGCTCTTGACTTGATGAATATGATCTCTCCTGCAAGCAAAGGTTTGGCCTTGCTAGCAGGAGAGGCATAGCCAAGGGTTGGATGAGAAGAGTGAGGCATTTCAGTTTGATCTGAAAGGGTTCTTTATCCAAAGGGACACTTAGCCTTCCAAACAATTACCAAAAATATGTCACAGGGACTGACAGCTGCCAGCAGTGCTATTAACTTATTTAGGAGGAGAGGCTTCAGCTTTGAGCCGGGAGAATGAGAGTAACAGTTGGCATGGCAATGACCTAACCTCCAGTGATAGAGGGATGAGGCAGGGAGGAAGATGACAGATGATGAAGCAAAATGAAGGACTACGGAGATGGAATGATATCTTGGTTAATGATGATAAAATGAAGATAAAAATGGAGAGGAGAGGTTCTGGACAAAGCGAAACAAATCACTGAAGACAGGTGATTAGGAGAGTAAATATGAAGCTGGTATACACATACAAACACATAATTTTAAAAAAAAGTAACTTGACTAAAAAGCTTAACTTACCTTGAGGGATTCAAAAAGGTTGCCAACAAAAAAGAGTCTCTTCAGAGTGTCAACAGCTGACAGAGTCATCACAATGAGTTTCTGCATATAGAGGTCAGCCTGCTCTCCACTGAAGCTGATGTCCAAGTCCAAATAAGACCTGATAGGACAGGACGACAAAAGCAGAAGCTAGATGCTGAAATGTCAGATTTAGTCTCACATTTTTTTGCACTGCATTTATTTTCGAGTCTTTTCTGAGTCATTCCTCCTTAAAAACACAGATTCCACACAATACTTCAAGCACATATACTTGTCGTAACTTTCAAAGCCATTAAATTACCCAATCGCTGAAATTTCCCAGGTCATCAGCAGCTATTTAAAATCCATTTTACACAGCTATCATTTTATAAAGAGGCATTGCAACAAGATGACTATCCTGTAAGGAAAATTCAACAAAACTGACAATATTTCAAGTAATATTAGAGTTAACAAACAGAAAATAAAGGCTTCCTGAGTGAAAGTTGTTATCTTAACCCCCTGGTCTTGAGCACATTGTATATTAATTTGTATAAAAACTAAAATAACAAAGGTCAAGTCCCCTTCATTAAATAAAAGCACAGCATCTTACTTGAACGGATGCTCTCCATCACCCCAGCTGAGGATGTAGAGGAGTTGGTAGTAGATCCGTACTGAGATGGTGAAGCACATGATAGCCAGGGAGACTGTGGAGACCACAGTGATGATGCTGAGCTGGAACAGTGACAGCAATCCCACCACTAACCCTGTGAGCACCATGCCACTCCGCTCCGTGTCCTTCCAGTAGATCAAGTCCATCACTAAAAGGCAAAGCAGATACCGTGTGGTCAGAAATGTAAATGCTTTGTCATAAGCACAAATATTATGGAAATTTGAGACTTTTACAATATTTTTTTTGTGATGTTCTATTTCCAGGGTGGAATGATTGTACAGCACAGAGTTGTAGAGGGGTCAAACATGCATACATTCACTTAAATCTTTTATTAAATAATGCTTTGCCAGCATCTAAAGGATTTATTTAAAGCACACATTAAAATGACCAAGTTCAAGGAAAAGGAGAAATGTAGGTTTAAATAAGTTTGGAAGGTCTCGCTGAGCCAATTTTAAACGAGGGCAGATTCCAAGTACAAGTTATTCAGATGTGTCACCATTTTGCCAAGGTTCAAAAGGAGATACGAACTGTCACCCTTAGAGGAAGAGAAATTGGTTATATATTCAGAAACAGTCCATTAAGCACCGAAGGTCAAGCCTGCAATGAACTGGACACCAACATCACTGTGCACAGCAAAGCCAGTTTTATATTGCCCTTGACTGAGGGTGCTGACCAAGTCAGAAGCCCTTGCTTCAAAATTGATACCTTTAAGCTCAACTGAAATTTGTAGCTGACCACATGGAAGAACCAAATGCCCTTTAGTGAACATTTTATGGCTAGGCAAGATGAAGATTGACCTGTTTCGCCACAATCACAAGAGGTATGTTTGGAAAAGTAAAGGTGAGGCTTTCAAACAATAAACCTAACACAGTGCCAACTATCAAGCATGGTGGTAGTAACATCATGATCTGTGGCTGTTTTGTTACCAGTGGTATTGGTACACTGCAGGAAATGGATAAAATAATGAAGCATGACTACCTCTAAATTCTTCAACTTCACTGCAAAACAGCTAGATTGTTAAAACTTGGATACAATTGTGTGTTCCAACAGGACAATGATCCCAAACACAAACTGGGTTTGGATTGGATGAAGCAGGCTAACATTAAACTTCTAGAATGGACTTCCCAAACCCCTGACTTCTAACCTAATCTCACTCTACCAATTCTGCATGGAATAGCAGTCAAATATCTAGCCAGAATTATGTCAGAGGTTTATTGATATGTAACAAAAACAAGCTGCAACTTGCTGAGGTACATGAAACTAAATATTACTGGGCATGTGAGTTTATTTTTGACCCAGTTTGGATTGGAGAAAATCCCAATTAACATCAAACATTTGCCCCTAATTAAAGCTTTGAAAAGTTTTTAAATATTTACCCGTACAATCACGCCACCCCGGAAAAAGAACAGTTTAATAAACTCAGCAAAAGCACCAAATTACTGACATTTATGCCCACGATGAGTGTACGTACACCTCTGACAACAACTGAAGAAAAGAAAGGTTAAAAAAAATCTAGAGCCAAGAGAATAGGAAGTAAAAAAACCAAACCAAAAACAGTGGCTGAAAAGTCCAGGCAACTGTTGACAATATATTCGATTTTGACAAAGCTGCTGTATCATTTAAACTCCTCAACATTCGGCTGAATAATACCTTTTTTATTTTTGAAGAAGCACCATTGAAAGAGCACCTGGAGCATAGGAAAAGAGATGGAAAGGGTGGCCAGAGAGGTTGAAGACATGAGGCAAGGAGGGATTTTAAGCCTCAGGCATGAAAGCACACAGGCTCCGAGGACACATCAGGGTCTAGGTCCAGTTAAATTTAGCCCTCAGATGAAAGAGGGAAACAAGCAGTTGAGGGGAATTTAAATGCAGCCTTTCACAGCACCTGCTGTCAGTCGTCAGGACATCAGCAGCCCCTTCTCCACACCCTGTTAGTTTCCCTCTCTGTCACCCAGCAACAGCTGCCCTGGAGACTGAGGCGTCTGCAGAGTCATGCAGTACTACAGTGAACAACTTTGATGTATCTTTTTTCTCTTAACAATTTTAATGTTACAGAAAATGATTAAGCAATTAACAGTAATTAAAATTCCATCACACAGCTCACTGTAAATGCAGTGTCCCTGTGCTGTGTAATTATTGTCAGAGAGAGGCCTGGTACTTTGTACTCGTCGTTCAGCGAAATGCTAAGCCTCAGCATTAGAATAAAGGGAAGCCTCTTTCAATGGAGTGTACTGACAGCAGGTGGGTTATTTATAAACATCACTGCACACAATTAATTCCCATGATGCCCCTGGAACACACCTGTTCATTGTGTTTGTTTGTGCTGCTGCCATTCCGGGACAGTGACACTCACATGGAGACACAGCAGGATACGTGTTTAGTGTAATAACACATAAACAGCAGTATGACATCAAAACTGGCCATGGAAGACACATTGTATTTGGCTCATCTTCACACACCTTGTACTTGTAGCAATTTCCTTCCAAACAGAACGTGAACAATTTATCAGACAAATAATATTAGCTATTTGTTGATCGATTTGCATTGGCATGTATGAGGGCTGATAAATCAAAACTTCAAAAGCAAACAGGAAATTGGAGAAACACCCTTCAACCATGTTATGAGTGTTGACATTGCATAGTTTGTCCAGCAGAGGGTACTCTGTGACATGTGTTCCCTGTTGGCAACACATGCCACAAACACAACAGTCAGAGAGTAAACGAATAAATAGATAACTATACATAAAGAGAGAAAGAAAAAATTTGCACATATATCGGAATCTCGAATTTTTAAATCAACTATCGGTAACAGTATCGGTCTTAGAATCCTATATCAGTTGGGCTCCACTTTCAGTCACTTTACTTAAGACATTAACTAATGGATTAAATTTTCCAAAGGGCCACATGCGAAACTGGGACTGTTGTGAAGGGCTACAACAATAAGCTTATAAATAGATAAAAATCATGTTAACCAGAATTGAGTTCAGAGTTGTTGGTATGGCTCTCCACAAGAGTCCCATTGGCCGCTTTGCAAAATGAATTGCCCACCCATGCATTAAATATTTAATCTCCACATGACAGGAAGTATTTCACTGGTTACAAGTTAGCTTAATTCTTCAGTCCACTATAGTTCACTAAGATGAAGAACTGCAGCACCTTATGGACAACTGAGCCTGGCTCCAAAAGTGAGTAAACCCCATAAACACCCGGGTTAAAATGACCACATTAAAAGTACAAATAAAGATATACAAAAAAAGGTACAAAAGGGCTTTGGTCTTTTTTATTTATTACCCAGGCACATCCACAGTTCACAACATATCAAGTACTAAGCTAAAACATGGTGCAATTCACATTAGCTGAACTGCAGGGCTTTAACTACAATATACAGGATGTTACTGTATTCTTGATTATAATTAATCAAACAAACAGTCAATCAATTGTCAATTAACCAGTCAAACAAAAGTAATAGGGCCGACTCGTCCTTTATGCCACCTTGGCTTGACATAATTTCATTTCAGCCCCCCAAATCCATTTCACTTGTGCCTGGTCATGTCAGCTCAATCATGTCACCACAAACCTCGTACTACTTTAGAATGAAATATCTCCATCTGTGCCAGCTCTTCAGTCTAAAGAGGAAACACCAAAGAGTAAGAGAACCCAGCTGGCAAATATATTACAACCCATGACTGAAAGTTTATAGTCATTTGAATGGCTGGTGCTCATTTAAATCCAGGGTACTGATAAATGTGGCTATATTTGAACAACTGATTAGTTTAGTTCCAAACACACCTGCAGCTGATGGAAACACCCGTCCCCAGCGAGCAGCAGGAAATCCACTCAGTTTAAACCTTCAGGACTCTGACAGACCAGCCTTCTCTAAGCCAGTCAGAAAGCTAAACAGTCCACCACTTGAATCTGCCGCTTTCTCTGCCATCAATTTAACTGAAATGAAACACAGCTCTTTGCGGGAGTTGTCCCTCAGCTCATCACACTAAGCTTAGACCTACAGCTCACCTATAAAGGTGTAGAAAATTCTATTTCCACATCCAGAGCATCTCACCTTTACTGGCCATTTTGGTTGCTGCTCCAGCGTTTCCCCTCGCACCCTCTGCCCCTCTCTCTGTGTGTACCCCTCACCCCTGTGAGCTGTTTTTGGCCACCCACTGCTCGCTCAGCAGTGCAAAGGCCTGACAGCCCAAAATAATCTCATGTGCAGCACCGCCCAGCACTCTTAGAAAATACAAGAGCTTCACCCATAAAAAGATGATTCGCAACCATTACACTAGATCTTCTGACTCTAAAGTCAGATGAATGAATGAATCCATTCCTTTAAACTGGGAATTTGTTTTATAGAGCTGTGTTCATATTTTAAATTGCATGAAACAGGAGAATGGGTGTCTTTTTTCTGTTATGTCACCAGGTCCCATCTTTCTGTTTCCACTGCTGACAAACAAACAGGAGAGCAACTGAAAAGCTGCATTCTTTTTCACCTTTTCTAGAGTTATAAATTCTGCTTATGATTTAATGTGACAAAACAAACAAGATAAAATGCTTAAGCTATCAAATGTCTAAAAACAACTAGCAGTACAAGGCCTAAAATGACTGACTAAAAGTAGCTGAATGATTTAGAAACGTTCGAGAGAACCCAGTCATTTATCATTGCCAGTTTCAATATTTGAAATTTGATACAATGCTACTAAAAGCAGTCATAAAACCAAAAGAAACATGATATTCCAATAGATATATTTGCAGTGCTTATTCAGGGGACCCTAATCTCTGTCATCAGCCTGCCCGCACATTTATTAACGCTCAAACAGTCGTCTAAAATAAGACCGAGCTCCAGTCTGATGGAGGATCCACTTCAAGGGTCAATTCACTACTACAGTGCTAGCAAACTGCCACAAATCTGCATACATAGAAACTCCTCCCATATACTATGTGCATCTTTCTTTCTGTTGTGTTGCTGACATCAGCATGAATCTGAAAAGTCAACCAGTGCCAGCTATGGTTTGCTCACAATGAGCCAATCACTCCTTAAATCTCAAAAGAGGGTTATTACGGAGACACAATGAACAGCCAGCACTTCCACGGGGGTGGGGACAGGGTCAGTTATCTTTGTCTGCCTGCTCCTGAAGGTCCATGCAGAAAGTGAAATCTGATATTCTCCTTCTTTAAATTATTGATTGAGCTCAGTGAAAGAATCTTGCTGAACGAGAGAAGAGGCAGAGGTCAGGAGAAGACAGACGTTTTTTATTCCCCTACCTGCTATGTGTGTGCATGCTGCCCAGTCCTCTGTTAGGTTAAGTGCTGAAAACCAGTGATCTCTGACCAGTTGTTCCTGAGTGTTTAGGCCAATGGCAGGCGGCGCAGATGATGCTGGGTCTCCCGGTCGCACAGTTGTGAGAAGCTTGACTGAAATGGTTTCCCTGGCAACAGGAGATACTGGCTCAGCTGCTGGGAAAAGGAAGAATGTGTCACTATGGTAATGACATCACGTTGAATGTGCTTAACTAAACAGCAGCAAACTATATTTTGCACAAGAATGCTGATTTGTTTGATTTGACCACTATTTTTCTTTATAACATTCACCACAAACAAAATCTCTTTTACACTGACACTGACAATAGTCTAATATGAGGCTATTAGACTATTGAATGTTGTTTAGATTAGAGTTGTTAATTGGGTATTTTACAGTCTTTAGAAATAAAAATTACATCTGGGGTTCCACTGCTCTTCTATTTATACATGCTATTTTTTCTCACTTTTTAATTTTTAAGGAAACAATAAATTGATATGTAATGAAATGTATTCATAAAAACCCACTTTCCAGTGGGTCTACAAAATATTTTATGGCTTTGTGCAGCCTTTCGATGCTACAATTGTCGAATCATTTTGATTTGTCATCACTTCTGCCTCAGACCCACCTAACGTGAAGCATGACTCAAGGCAAGGTCATCACTTAAGCTCTCAGAACATAAAGATTTTAAAGTGTCAGCTGGAGACAGTTAGGAGGAATTGAGAACTAACAGTGGTAAAAAAAAAGTCTCTCATACTCAATAAATATAAAATTTGGAAAGACTCCTTTACAAGATGTTTAAATTCAGTGTAAAAATAATATAAAATGAAGGTAAAACAGCTACTACATAATCTTTTTGTAGATCACATGAGGACTTCAAAAAACCTTTGACAAGATCATTATGCTGACTGACAGAATCAATAACCCAGTCCTAAACCCAGTTTTTTGTATTCTAATCTTTAGTTGATCATAAGAATTCATAGTGATTTTTGGATACAGGCTACACTTATAAAATATCTACTCTAACGCTCAGTATGCTTAAAATTACAAGCCAGTTGTGCAAAGAGCTCATTACATTTTTTTGGTTGAAAACCTACTGCTCAGTCAACCAAGCTAGTCATCTCTGTACTGGGGCATCCTGAGACTCTCAGACACTACATATTTTAGAGTTTCACACAACACAGAATGAAGCAACCTCATCACATATTTCTCACTCTGAAGTATCTGTGAGGGGCTCTGTTGCAGGGATGACGGGATGGAAGGGGAATTCTCCACACTCTCGTCAACACTCTCCTCTCTTTGAACTCCTTCATCTCTCTCTTGAGGTTCTGGGTCCAGGTTTTGGGGAGAGGGCTGAATTGTAATAGTTTCAGTTTGTCTTTGTTGCTCCCTTTCCCATCTTTCTCCAGCACTTTCTGTCCTCGTCTCAACTCTCTCATGCTCTCTGCTTTCTGACGTTTCCTCTTCTTCCTCTCTACCGAGGAACAGTTGAGGATCCCAGTCTGCATCAGGGGAGTCCAACAGTGTTTCCAGGGTGTCCGTGCGCATCAGAGGAGTGCGACTGCCTCGAGAACCAGCCCTGCGTCGATCGCGGAGGAGTCTAGAGGCGCCCACTGCTTCAGCCTCGGCAATAGCGATGTAGGAGAAAGTCTGCTCGAAGGAGTTCTGACGCGGTGTGCCCCAAATAGACGGGGATGAAGCCAGTCCCTCATCATCATCATCATCTGGATCTCCATCGGCCCCCTCATCATCGTCGGACCACTCCCTGGCCGTGTGCAGCTCATACATCTCTGACTCCTCATTTCCACCTGAACGAACAGAAAAACAAGATGGATGTGAGCTCAACGTACAGACTGATGCACAGTAACAAAACAGAGAGAGACAAAGAAACAGGATACAAGCTGGGAAAACAACCAGTTTACAAATAATCTAAAGACACTGGGGCTACTAGTGTTATTGCAGTGTTATGCAAGGAGAGAGATTTTAGTTTTATTAAATGGAAACGTCAGATGAAAGCTCCAAGGCATCCTATTTGATGTCAGGGAGAAGAAAGAGTTCGGAGTCGAAAGATGAAGCCTTCTTTGATAAGTGCAAAAACAGCTCTCCTTACAGAAAAGGAACAAATCAGCGTTCCTTTAGTCTAACCTGTGGATCTTCAATGCTAGCGTTAGAGAAGTTGCATGACAGGTGCATTTAGGTGAACTTGCATCAATGACGACGGCGCATCAATGAGTAGACATTCTGCCACCGAATATCTCTGAGGATGTTAAGTGTCTGCTTCTTACCATCAGTGCAGGGAGGAGTTGAGTCTGGAGTGGATGCCACGGAGCCATATTCCTCTGAAAGGACAAAACAGTGAAACTTTTGCATGAACCCACAGGTAAAACAGGAATGTTTAAGGCAAGCTGCTGTAAATCCATTCTTTCCACCATCTCACACTGAGCTCACAGCCTGGCAAACACTGAACGTAGGTGTTTCTTCCAATGATTAAAAAGCACAAAATAAGCATTGCAGTAACTCGCTATGAGTCACTGTTTTAAGGGTTATAAGTGAACTGTCACTGTACACATTGAAAAAGACTGGGAGGTACCCTACTCAGCAATTTCAACCTCTATGTAAAACAACAAAGCATAAAACTGTGTGCATATCAACCATTTTGTTGCATATTGATTCATTTCCTTGCAGAGTTGTGCAGGCAGCAGTAAAGGCCTTCACTACATTAGGCAGCCAGCATGACTTTAGCTAATAAATAAACCAGGGAGTGGAACGAAGCAGCATACTCTCGTCTGCACATGCAAATAAGCAGCCACTTTAATTTAAATGTAGAGAGGATCGTGCCCATATTCTGTCAGAAAGCTGAAATAAAAGGCAGATATGAAAGCACAACAGAAGCTTGTGGCAGCTTGAAATAACTTGCATGCCTAACATGCCTGGCTGAAAAGCCCTCTCAGACACAACCAAATAAACATCTGCTATGCAGCGCTAGATAACAACAACCAAACAATCTCCTTCTGCACTGCATCCGCTCCATTAAGCCATGTGTTTATGAAAGGTATGAGCAGTAGAGAGGAACAGAGAGCATGCAGGAGAGGAGGGAGGGGGAGAGCTAACACATACGATGCTCATAGCAGTTAGCAGGAAAAGATACTGAGCTGGAATATAAGAGATGATGGAAAGGTGAGATAAGCAAATGCAGACGCCCCCAACACTGAAACACAAACTGAAGGACCAAAGCAGACTCACGGCAGTGGGAGAATCCTAAAACCTGGCCCATGCTCCATCAAGGCATTGCTGGGCCCATCCAGTCATCCAGTCTGGAAGCTCCCCCCTCCTCCTCCTCCTCTGCTGCCGGCACTCACGTCCTGTGGACTCTCTCTCTCTCTCTCTCCTCCTCCTCCCTCTGTGTCTCAGTCATCTACTGAGAGGCTTCCTCCCTCTCCTGCCTCTCGCTCAGACACTCAACAGCCCCGCCCTGCCTCACTCCACCATCCTCCCCTCTACATCTCCTCTTCCATCGCTAAGGCTGCAGCTGTAGTAGTAGTGTACGCAACAGCAAAGGGGGGGAAGGCACGAGTGTCTGTCTGCCTCAGCTTGTTGTCATCTCCCATTCACAGCTACTCTACACCCATCTAGCCCCTCTCACTCTCTCTGTCATCATGTGATCCCATCTCAGGATCTGATCGAATCAGGTTGTCAGAGAATGAAGACATTAATAATGTGAAACATGAACATAAAGCAAAGCATACGCAGAGAAGGAATCATTTCAGGTTGGGTACGATGAGCTGAATCCTCAATTACATCCCATTACTAACATGTAAGGTTCGTCAGCTTTAGTTTGTTTTAGTAATACCGATCAGATTCTGTTTTCTCATATTAAAAACACACAACTAAAACCACAGTCATAAAAGATGCAGTATATAATATACTGTAACATAAAAATTCAAGTAAAAGCTTGTAATTAGATTGGAAACGAGGCCTGGGAAACAACACACACCAGGAGGCAGTGTTGTGCAGCTATAAAAACTGTGATAGTTTTGTTTTTGATTACTGCTGGAAAAAATATGTGCAGTATGACGTCTTCATAATGCTTTTTATTCATGTAAAATTCAGCATTTGAACTACAACATAGACCCTTCATTTCAGTTGATAAAACTACACTGTTAATGTTCCAAACCGCAGCTCTTTTACTGAGATGTTTGAGTCATTTTTTAATCATTCGTAAAGTAACTAAAAGCAGAAATTTAAAAAGGGAGAATATAGATTTAAACTGGATTTTTGTAAGTAAAAAAAGGAAACAAAAACACTGAATTGAAGTGCAAGCTGAATGATGTCATGGCAGTTACACAGCTGCCACTAGGTCAAAGCTGTGCCTCAACAAAGACAAATATATTTTCCTTTTCATAGTTTATATAAAATTTCACATATTTACTAAAGCTAAACGTAAACCTTTTTTAAAACCTATTTTTTAGGTGATCAGTGTTGTGTAACAGCTTAAATGGGTTTTATCTGAGAATAGACCAAATTACTTATGCCATATATTGTATTCACATGACGATTGATGTCCAAATGTTTGAGAGATGTCTTGAATGATTTCCATAACCGGGGTAGAAAACTGATGGACTGCTTTAAACACGAAATGATTTGAGAGACAACAGCACATTACACCTGCAGCTGAAACAGTCATTATTATCCACTGTTAGCGTCACATGTAATTGAACAGTTCTACATTTATTTATGTTAAAACAAACAGTCGCATCCTGAGTTATACACCTGGCAGTTTCCATGATCAGACAAACACAAGGACCAGTGTCCGTTTATAAAAGGTTTAGTGCTACTTTTAGGTTGATGACAACAAAGATACACACATATAGACCTTAACGCTCTTAACCTCTAAACCAGGTCAGAAATCGCAAATACACAAACTAATTAGATTAAGACGCAGAGGTGTCATCTGACACACAATCAGCAGGTTACAAGTTCGAGGGCCAGTTTACTGCATATCATCTGTCTCTTCATGTGAACAACTTCCACTTTTACTTTAGCTTATTTATATCCTCCATTTTAGCCTTAAACAGCATATCTTTCTGTTTCATATGAACATTAAAGCACCTCTTTTAGATTTCTGTCATACATCAGAGATGATGGTACACAGCCAAAAGGAGCTGGTACCATTTACCATTCTCAACATTTAAGGCAGAATGGTGGCCAGTGGTTCAAAAGTTTCAAAAGTCCAGTTTGAACAAATAGAATTCAACTTCAGAGTGAATATAACTCATGATTAACTCACTCGGAGTCAATATCTGAACATACAGCTATGTCCAAAAGTCTTGAGCCAACACACACTTTGTTAAAATTTCGCTAGGAAATGGGAAATATGTGCGATGACTTATTAAAGCATGTGCAAAAATACATGGAAGTAAAGTATATAAAGCAGATACTGATTTTGTATAAATTTAATGAGCGTGAAAGACGATATTTATTATGATTGCCTTTATTCCGCTTGAACAGCTTGAACTCTCTTAGGCAAGCGGTCTTCAAGTAGTCTCAAGAAATAATTTTCCAGGCTTTTCACAGGACATTCAAAGCTCTTCTTTAGTCAGTTGTTCCATTCTCTGGCAAGTTCAAGCTTGGGAACTGGTGAAAGCCCATGCATGACTGCTAATGTTCTACTGTGTGCTTTTCTATCCTGGTATGCTTTTGCTGCATGGGTAATATGTTGCTATCCTGAAAGATTACGCCACTGCCCAGCTGACACTTTCCAGAGAGGAATGCATGTTGAATTAAAAATATGATGATACTTTTCTCCAACACCACTGGCTGAACAGACCCTGCACCATGCTTTACATATGACTGAAACAAAAATGTTGATAAGCAACAATTTATTTTACTTTTGAAATAAAAACATCATATTCATCACTCTAAAACACCTGTTGTCACATATTTTCATTCCAGTTCTTGTGTCAAGTGACATGCTTCAGCTTTTCTTCCCATTTCTCTTCCTTAAGAATAACTTCTTGACAGCCTCTCTTTCACTAAGGACCAAATTTATTTGTCAGGTATTTGCTGGGTTTATACCCATTTCGTAAGGATATGACTTTCAAATACTGTTTAATCTCCTTAGATAATTTTTTAAGGTCTGCTACTTTTTTTTTTTTTACATTTTCCAATTTTAAGGCCACACTGCACACCATGATGAGACATTAGGTTTTTAGCTATTATGGATCTATTTGGGAATCACCTTGTTGACATGGTAAATCGCCTGTCAAACTGTGTTTTCTTTGGGAATTTTTTAAATACATTTAACAAAAGAGAAGAGGAGAAATGATGTATTTACAGGCTGCTAGTAGCAAATTGCCTCAAACTACAATTTTACAATGGTTCTAAGTTGTCTGTTTCATCCCTGGTAAGATACCTTGTTTACACTTGAATGACTCATAACCCATTTAAGTGGGTTGACAAACAAACACATTCCCCTGAAAATGGCCAAGTATAAGGGCTGGGCTGAAAAACTGTGAAAAGCAGCCCAAAGAAATGACCTTCAAGCCTGGAGAACTACTTCTCAAGACCACTTCATGTCAACAAAGTCTGGGTCCCTGGAAGCAAAATATAAGGGTATGAAGGGTGGCTCAAGACTTTAGCACAATGATATTTGCCAGTGATTTTGTTTTGTTGCACTTTTTTAAATCCACCAATTAGCCTCCTGACATTTTAAAAGAAATAACTGCATGCCAAAATAAGTTCTACTTAAGTTTTATTTGACCCTAAACAGAGAGTAAGTGGTTGCAGATCTCCCTTGTTTAACAGGAGAGCTCACTGGTCTTTATGATGAGGCACGTTGAACCTAGTGTTGTTAAGCGATATAGCGACACTTGAAATTAACTTGTGTTTCATTCACACGATTAGATTATCAAATAAAATGTGCTAGCTAGATTATGACGTATACAGATGACTAGGATGATTTTTTTTTCTAATAATCAAATTTCAAGCAAATTAAGAACATTTATAGACTGACTTATGGACAACACTGGCAACCTCACATGGTATTGTGATGATCCCTAAACAAATAAACAATAGGATTGATGAGTCACTCAAAAATTCTCTCTAAAGATCGTCAGAGATGTTAATCTCCCACAGACGTGCAAGACTGATCATGGGCTCTGTCAGTGTTTTGCTAAATGTCCCAATTATAATCCATGCATGTGTGCAGACACAGGACTCTTGTGCTGGCATGTGATAATCCAGCATTACCTACAGAGCCAATACTACACAGTCAGAGGTAGAGGAAGAAGGACAGGAAATGGGTGGGGCCAATTGAGGAGATAAATCCATGGAAATAGATGAGCCAATAGAAGTGCCAGGTTGATAAAGTGAGAGGAAAAGAAGAGAGAGAGGGAGACAAAAAAAAAAACACAAAACAAAAAACCCCACAGACAGTGAGAACCAGGTCTTGACGAGGGAGGATTCTCTACAAGAAAGTCGCAGGATTTTTAAAAAAATATGCCCCTGATGTTTTTAAATAGAAAACTAACGCAGTGCTTCATTTAACCGGATTTCACTGTAAAAACAATTTTAGTTTACCTGCTTCCCCTGCTTTGGGGGGAAGAGGGTTATAACCTACCTGTTGCACTGGACCTGTTGAGAAAAACACAGGGGCGGAGGAGGGGCACCCGGAGGAGACGAGGTGCCGCCAAGTCGAGCAGGAAGCTTGAGCACAGACTCCGTGGAGTGATGAGGACAGCACGCCGGGCGAGCAACGTGGAGGTTCCCTCCTTCCTCCGACAGCTGGTGAAAGAGACAGAGAAGATGGTCACCTTCTTCTTCAAAGGAGGATCCAGGGAGACAGGGCCTGGGGAGGAGGACAACTTGGATGAAGATGACGGAATACCCAGCCCGTACCTGGAGCATCCCATTTTGGAAAAGTATGTGTCTGAGGGGGGATCTCATGTGGGGTTGAACTATGCTGTGGCAAGCATGCAGGGGTGGAGGGCTCAGATGGAGGATGCCCACGCCTGTATGCCCCAGCTGAGAGCAGAGTTGCGAGACTGGGGTTACTTTTCTGTTTTTGATGGACACGCAGGCACCACAGTGGCACAGTACTGTGCCAGACACCTGCTGGATCACATCCTGGCTGCAGGTACGTGTTAACCACCGACTCTGAATCAAAATTTAAGATTTTTAGAAACTTATATTTATATCTAAACACCTTCAACGTAGCCCCAAACATGTTCTTACTTTACTTCTTTGACAGGAAAACGCTTCCAGTCTTTTGTGGCTTTAATAATTAACATTCAGACTTGAAATGCACTCGTTGTAGTTTGCTTAGGACCAAAGCCTCTTAAAGAATAAAATAAGCAACATCATGCAAAGGAGAAGTGG